AATCCGTCCGTGGGCTTGCTTTTGTTGCAAGTGTGATGTTACAAAGGGAAAGTAGCGACCACGCGATTTGTACAGCGACAACAGACGTAGGAGCCTTCCAAGACTCTCCGCGTGCCTGTGGATCCGTGCATCCGATACAAGACGTGTCTGTCGCTCTTCAGGTTATTACCTGCCTCCGCCTGTTGCCGTCTTCTATTGACCGTGCATTAAAATCTTCTTCAAAGGAGAGAGATACGTACGCTGATATACGCCTTACCTCTTCCGACTTGTAGAGTTCTCGGGATGTCACGGTGCGAAGAACGAGCACGACTTTGTAAAACCTGATGCAGTTCGGACAAAAATATTCGTGAGTCACGAACGGAAACGTATTTAAACGTCCGGGACGACGCTAATTTTGGACGTACATTTTCGAATCACCAATTCCCCCATTCCGATGAGATGAGATGTTTGCTCGGATTTTTGTTGTTCAGTAACATATGTATCGATTGTATATCACAGAGTATCGATCCATTTCGTGCGAGGGAGAGACGAGAAATGTTCAAGATCACACAAAGATTCCTATTGTGACGCCCGGACGCCCTATTAAGACGTTTTGTGCCCGCGATCGTGCGATTCACGGCATTATAATTTTCCATTCCGCGCACAGAATAACGTAGCACGATCACGACCGAGATTCACGCCTAGACAAATCTGTCCCACGAATTGTTAGCACATGTCCGCATGCGCCGACAAAGCGACAAAACTCCCCCCAAGAGTCGTTAAAGCCGGAATAACTCTGACGAATTTCTCTGTCCTATCCACGTCTCAATTTTCACATGTCGAAAACGCACCGAAGATGCGACGAAAATATGTCCCATTTCTAACTGGAGCGCGTTCAACTTGCAGGTAGTTTCTCTTTTCACGAATACTCACGAAATTCCATGCAGCGCATCTTATCGTTAGCCTTATTACCGTCGGATTTGTCTCGAGTCCAAGCAATAAAATGCCCTTAATTAATTAAATAAAACAAAATCAATACGCGATGCTACTCTCTGCAATATCGAATAAGTCGAAAAGTCGTTTGGTTCAATCTCTGGCTTAAATTTCACGTTACTGAATTCAGGAAGTAAATCAGTCCAAATATTCGTCGACGTTTCCTGTAATTCTTCGTTAACATTCTAACCGTATTCATATATCTCTATCTTCAAAGATGATCGAGTTTTCCTCGACGAAAAATTGAGTCGCGGACTACCGGAGCGTAAGATACAAATTTTACAGTCTTTTTCTCTTCTCTGTAACGTAATCTTTCCCTTTGTTCAATTTTTCTTCCTATTTTCTACCAATTTGCTTCCACATTTGATGCGAAAAATCTGCTGCAGCGCCGAAGAATGAGTGGGCGCATCTTTGTCATAGGTGAGGCTCGACAGAGAGAGAGAGAGAGAGAGAGAGAGAGAGAGAGAGAGAGAGAGAGAGAGAGAGAGAGAGAGGAGAGAGAGAGAGAGAAAGGGAGAAAAAAAGAGAGAGTAGGGGCTTAATGCCCCGGTGAGAAGGTCTATTGTAAAGGTTTAGCGGGGGTTTGTACTCATTTCCGCACCTTAGTTCTGAAGAGATCCCGGTTAATACCGGTAGCCATTTTTATCACCGATGAATGGTGCAGCATGGATTTCTTTCCATTCTCAGTGGTAACCTGTCTTGTTATCTATTGTACTATTGTGAATTATTGCGGGTTTCTTCACTTCGCTATGACGAGACTGACATGCCTCCAAATGATGACACCGTAGGTAGGCGATATACTTTAAAACGATCGCGTAATAGTCGTAGATATAAATTTACGTTTAGACTCAAGAATTTGGAATAATTGTTCAATAAATTTTCGGTGGACGCTAATTGTTATTTTCTAACACACTAATTCGCGAAGGTGAATCTATTTGATTTATAATTTGTAATTCAGTTGCGATGCGATAAATGCGGACAAGTAAATTACTCAGCGTTAGAGAAATAGGGACAAGTAAATAAATCTTTTGCAAAGTGTACGTGTAGTTAGTGTAACTTTTTGATAAAGATTACGAGATGAGATTACGAGAGAAAAGGAGATGACAGATTTAGACAAGGTAGAAAAAGGAACGTTGAGTTGCGGGTGGCCACGAACGAAAGAGAAGAATCGGAAGAGTATTAAGGCATCGTTTCGCTTCAGGAAAACATCTCAGGTACAGTACAAGTGGACCGTGTTTCAGGAATTCCTAAGAAGAAGAACATCCTCTATTGTTTGAGACATTCCTCGAATGAGATTACCTGCAGAGTACCACATACAAATTTTATCCACCTTGACAGTTCTATTGATCGTATACACTCGTAGTAGTAGTTGTGTTCACAACCTATAGATGGTGTGAGTGGACGGTCACTGCAAACAGAATTCACTGCAAACAATGACTAAATGCGCAATGATGACCTGCCTTGTTCAACACGTTCACCACCACTATATATATTAGGCGTACAAATGAATAATCCAAATTATTTTGAGCAGTTATGAAATCAATTTTAAATTGAATAGATTTTCCCGCTCTTTTGTGATTATGCAATGTTGATATGTAGCTATTAAAAAGAACATATAGTTTGGCGAAAGAGGCCCGACATAACCTTCAAAAGTATTCAGTTCAGTACAGTCGAAAATGGCAACAGATAAGGTGCATATCCGACACTGCATTCTTCACGAATTCCAACGAGGAAAAAATACTGCAAGAGCGTGCGAATCCATTTGTTCCTTTCTCGGCGAAGGTGTTGTATCGTACAATGTGTGCGGATTTTGGTTTAAGCGGTTTAAAAGCGGTTTAAAAGATTTCAGTCTAATCGACAAACAACGCCCTGGAGGCCCTCCGAAGTGCGATAATGATGATTTGGAACAACTGCTCGCTGAGAATTCGGCACAAACACAAAGAGAGCTCTTAGAACAGTTGGGAGTAACGCAGCAAACGATTTCCAAACGCCTACATGAGATGGGAAAGATCCAGAAAGAAGAAGATCAATAAGCAGCGTCGAAAGCAGCTTTCTTGTGGAAAATCGTTACGGGCGATGAGAAATGGATACTCTATGACAATCCGAAACGCAGAAAGTCGTGAGTAAATCCCGGCGAATCGTCAAAATCGCTTCGGAAAGAAGGTTCTTCTCTGCATTTGGTGGGATATCAAGGGCGTGCTTTATTATGAGTTGTTGGAACCGAGTGAAACAGTTAGTGCGCGGACTGCTACCAACGGTCAATTAATCTGCTTGAGTCAAGAATTGGAACGAAAACGCCCGTATACTGGCAAACTGGGAGAACGTCCAGTGAAATTGTTGCGTGACAACGCCAGGCCACACACATTGCTTCCAATACAAAAGACACCATAATGAGTCTTGGTTGGGACGTCTTGCAGCACTTGCGGCGTATTCACCAGACATTGCTCCATCCGATTGTCACTTGTTCCGGTCGATGCAACACGCCTTATGCTACCAATATGCATTTCCAATCAGTGGATGAGATCCGAAAATGGCTTGACGACTTTATCGTGTCCAAAGACGTAACATTTTTCCGAGATGGAATTCATCAGCTGCCTGAAAGATGGCTCAAAGTTATAGAAATCAACGGCGAATACTTTGATTGAACAATTTAATTTACTTTCTTTTAAAATAAACCTTGAATGTAGCTGAAAAAATTGGATTATTCATTTGTACACCTAATATATATATATGTAATGCTTTAATCTCTCGCGAGAGACAAACATCATATCTGTGACAGCGGTATTTTTTCACTCAACATGCGTAAACATGCTAAGCTTATTTTAGACAATTACTTAAGAGGTATATGGTTTATGTAGAGGGTTCTTCAGGTAAATCGTAGTAGCAAACGGTGTTCGAAGGTTCCAGGACCACCAAACTGTTTCGGTGTAGCCAGCGATGGCAACGTCTTCACCTGGAAGCACGTTTTCGCGCCATATTCTACCCAAGAATCTTCATTCGTTGACATAAATTCATTTTTATATGATACGCGAGTAATTCACGACATATGAACGACAAATATGTCCTCCACTGTTAAAAATTCAACAGATTCGATCTGATGTGTAACAAACGGTTCGTGGTTAAAATATTTCCATCGAGAAAGAGAGAGAGAGACAGAGAGGGGGGGAGGCGAGGGAGGCGAGGGAGGGAGGGAGGGAGGGAGGGAGGGAGGGGGAGAGAGAGAGAGAGAGAGAGAGAGAGAGACACACAGAGAGACGTACACGACACGTACACCTCGTGTCTCCGTGAGGTGGACGTGCCAAATGCGTTTACCGCGTGAGACGAGGGTGACAAGGAGAGAACGTTCGTAGCTTCCCGTTGGGCAATTGGGGTGTCCGCAGGAACGAAGCCGGCGCGTCGGGGTGCGACGCTTGGCCAGTCAAGCGTCGCGGGGCGTCAGGACCGCGGTAGACAATTGAAAAAAAAAAAAAATCACTTGTCTCGCCCTAAAAGTAGGGACGCCTCGGCTGGATGCTGGCCGCGGAGCGGGAAAGTCAGGGCAGATGCGAGGGTGATGAGTGAGCCGATGTGTCCGTGAGCGACAGTCCGTTAAACGCAATGTTCCGAATCCGAGAGAGCGTTGCGGTCTCGCCGCCGGAAATACACACTGTCTACGTGTCGTTTCGCGCGCACGTGCATGCCGGCCGAAAGTCTCTCGCGACGTGCTCTCTCGGCGGAAAAATTATTTTATCGTTTGTGACTCGTATCGTACATCGAGTGATGCTGCAGCGCATGAGAGAAACGGCACACGAACGACTCTTTCGCAACTGACAAGATGCGCGATGATTGTGGTGTACGCGATTGGAGCGATTGAAATGACGATATCACCATAACGGCCTCGCTCTACTCGTTACGTAATACTCTCCTCGCGTTATCGGCTGCCATGAAACGAAATTCGCGATGGCGCGCGGTCTGCGCTCGGGCGCTCCTGCGCTTCAGCATCTCCGCTTGTTGCGCGATTTTCACGAAACCATCGCGCAATGTTTCAGGTACGCATATCAGGCAGCGGAGTGAGAGGCTGGCTGGACGCGTCGCATGAGACCAACAATTGGCTCAAGTACATCCACAGCACCACCAGTCCGCATGCGGTGAACATGCGGCACGTACTCATCGGCGGCCAGGTAACGAAAAGTCGCTAATCAGCCGGCGCGATCGGGAATCGGGCGAGAGTGGCAAAAATTAGCGATACCGATACTTCGTCGCCGCTTCGAACGCGCGATAAGCGCGATCTGCGCGTCCGTGGACAATTGCGATGCGCGATAAACGGATTGTACTCTTCCTGTTATGCGATCGATCGATTTTAATCTAATTCGCTTATATCACGAGGAGCGAACAACAAAAATAGACAATAGCTACGATAACCGAGTCGATCAGCGTGGATGATCGCTGCTTGCGCAATCTATTTCATGGCGGGCGACGCGAAGACACGTTTGCGGATCGTTCATCTGATAATTTCACCGAGGAGCGAGAATTATCGGTATCGCTAATCGGCATCTGCGATCTTCGCTTTCGATCCGAATGTGCTCATGACGTGCGCACAGGAGGAGAAGGAGAGAGAGAGAGAGAGAGAGAGAGAGAGAGAGCAAATTCCACGAATCCGTTTCTCGTGAAGACGAGCGTGGCGTGCACGAGTAACGTCATTTCGTATTAAGGTTTCGCCGATAATCCGGAGATACCGCGAATGCAAATTATCAATTACTTGGAATTTATTTATTTTATCACCAGATAATAAAGAGGAGGAAGAATTTCCTATCGTTTTGGAAAAAATATAGCCTTTGGTGATCTGTCGCGATGGATGATACGAAGAAATTATAGAATTATCGTTTCGTTTGTTGAACGACCCTCTCCAGATAGACGTTTGGCAGCTACCCTCTGTGACTCACCTTCGATTGAACAAACGTTTACATGCAACCGACACTCGATCGACAGTTGCAGTTAATAGGAAACGATAATTACTCGGCGCCAAGCGCAGTCGCCAATTGATTCTGCATATGTTGTTATCGCTCATTAAAAAGCTCGCCAACGGTTCGCAGGGAACTTTCATTCTCTCCCGCTCTTACGCTTCCATCCGCTTTTCGCGAGCGATCGACTTTACGCGGCACGCGCGTAAAGGTATTTGAGAATCGCGTGATCGCCGCGGAGACTACTCCGTCGTCGGTGGAGATATGCCTGCATTTCCGATATCCCTGCGCAGCTGTTTACGGTACGAATCAACGCGGAACGGAAATGGATCGATACGACTGTAAAGACAGCTCGCGACGAGCTATCCTTTCTAAAAGCAAAAAGACAATTCTTATCTCAGTTGCAAATCCCCCGATGACGATCCCCGGGACATCAAAAACGAGCTCTCGACTTTCGGTCAAGTTATTCGTCTTCGAACAAAGTGCGTTCGCATACGATCGGTCGTCGAATAGACGTTATAAGCGGAAACGATGGAGGTCACGGTGTCAATTTAGGGTCGAGCTCATGCCGCTCTGTCCGTTTGGCCCTTTCTCCCATTCTGTCTTTCCCCCGCTCTTTTTTTCTCTTTCTCTTTCTCTCTTTCTCTTTGTGAACCGTGGCACATGGTATCCGCGATGTTGTGGGCGCGCCGTAAGCTACATGTATACAGGGTGTTTAGTTATTAAGTCACCCCACGGGGTCGTTTCGCTGACTTCCTATACGCCCTCTCGCAATCGCTGTGGGAATGGGGGACGCGCGCGCGCCACTTTCTCTTTCTCTCTTTCTCTCTATCAGTGCCCTGCAGAATCGCTATCGTAATGATGCCTCGAGCCCCGTGACGACGCTATAAAGATCGTTTCACGGCTTCTCGCGACGTTACCAGGCTCCACAGAATCTAATGTGTGAAAATTACGTGAGAGGAGCTTTTCCAACGAGACCGAAACGCACGCGCGCAAACGACGTCCGAGAAATCGACATCGTGCGTGCTTCCGCCTCTTTTATCTCTCACCGTCTTGCCTTTTATTCCTAATTTTTCGCGGTCCAGAGGAAGTCTCTACCGATCGAAGTCGGTAGCAATTTTTTTTAATTTTTCAAAAGTTTTTAAATTTTCCTTTTGACTTTTAGCTATTTTTAAGGATCGCAAATATCCCATGAGATTTTTCATTCGTTTTTAAAGGTCTTGCGAGAGACATTGAGAGAAAATTTTTCTTTTTCTCTCTTCATGAAAAATGAAAAGCTCATTCTACCTTGAAATATTCATGCCATACGGTATGGTGTGCCGAGGATTAAACTGTACTTGCGACATCGCACGATTAAGATGCTCGAAGATCGTGCGTTACAGAGCGTCTATCTCGATGATCACAGATGGTGTACGAGGCTGTTCGCGACATCGCAACCGGCGAGGAGCTACTTTTGGGTCTTCGGGAGCCGCTTCAGCTGCAGGACATGCTGGGCGAAAATACGACCGAGGACAGGAGCGATCGCGAGACCGGTGAGTCCAGCCACACAATGGCTGGCTTAGACAATACCCTATTTTATTTTCAAATCGTTTGTTGTTTCAAAGAAGACGCGTCTACCTAACTATATGTCAACATATTTTTCAATAAGGGTCCTTCGATAATCTTCTTCAGTGTCACTGTGAAAGATACAATAAGAATAGACACAATAGAATCTCAAATATTGAATAATGACTTGGCGGCCAACGAAGAACGGATCAACAGAGAGAAAATTTATTCGACTCTCTCTGCCCTTTCTTGGAGAATTGACCATTTTCCGTGACGGCGGCATGAGAATTCTGACGAAATTCCGACAATGGATCGTCGTAAATCATAAATCGTGATTGACGAACAATAAATTTTCCCACAGAATAGAGCGAAATTAAAATTTGACTGAGAAGTCGTGCCAAACTTTTTCGCTGACAATATAACGCGGTGTTCACAGCGGGGAATTACGCTCGCGTAGTAATCGGGAACGGGTCGGAAAAATGTGGCGAGAACGAGAGAGAGAGAGAGAACGAGAGAGAGAGAGAGAGAGAGAGAGAGAGAGAGAACGAGAAAGAGAGAGAGAGAGAGAGAGCACGAAATAAAATAATATTCAGATGGGGCCGGCGAGATATATCGGCGGTCACGATCGTTTCGGCACGGCTTTACGACTTTCTATGCCGATACGCATCGCGCACGCCGGCGGCTCGTGCGCGTACAATTACGCGTACGAACGCAAATGAAGGGCAAGGGCAGGTGTTTTCCGAAACGACGAATCGGGGGCGGGCAGAGGGTAAATCGTGGATCGTTGTGTGCACGAGCTGGCTCGTCGTCATGCACCCTTGACTTTGGCGTGATTCACCTGGTCGGCCGTTGCCGTATTAACCCCTGTCCGTTAATAAGCACTGATTATCAGCAGATAGACGTATTTGCCGCGCGTCACATGTTGCCGTGTCGCGCGCGCCGCTCCGACTTTTGTTCGGGCCACCATCCTTCTCGCCGGTATAGACGCCACGCGAAATTTTACGCAATTCGAGTCCGCGGTATCCTCATTCACGTTGTTTTGTGCTTCGCGCTAACGCGTCGTTATTTGTTTACGTTAAAACTACGATCGACGATGACCGCGGTGTTTTTCTGCATTTTACATTGCCAACAGACGTTGAACAAGACCAACAGGAATGTGAACATTCGTGAACTCCTTAGATTATATATATATATATATTTTTTTTTTTTCTTTCAAAAGCTTATCACTTTGTTCCGCTAAAAATAGGTCGCGCGCAATCACCGGTAATTCTGGTGCTGAAAATTTGCGAACCGACGTTAATCGCGTGTGAAACAAAACGTACGAACGCATCCGACCTGGTTCAGCGTTAAGCGTTGATTGATTATTTTTCTCTTTTTGTTATGAATCGTATATCTGTGAGGGATACATCTCGACCCTCTTTTCGACCCTCGAGTGGGTTAAATCGCGCAGAATTCGCGGCACTTGATGGTGTCGAGGCAAACATCGACTCTCAATCTGCCCGCTTAATTTAGTTAATCGATCGTTGGATTTCATTATGCGGACCATTGCGCCGTTAATATATTCGAGGCGTTTAACGAAGAAGGGTAGCGTCTACGTGCCTGACTGCTCGACAATTATCTGGTTGTAACTCCTGCGCGATGGTCAGAGTCTGGATGACGACTTTGGTAGGGCCGGATTAGGGCCGGAGGGTTTATACGCCGACACCCAGATGTCGCGGTAATTAAAACCGGGCTTATTGTCAAAGTTCCGCAGTCGCAGAGTCTACAGCTAATTCGCCGACAGTTTTTCGTCATAATTTCGGGGTGCTCGTAAACGTGTCGTCGTCGTCGTCGTCGTCGTCGTCGTCGTCGTCGTTGTCGTCGCAGTCGCGCGCGCGCGCGCGCGCGTGTTCGCTCGCGGAAGACGCGCTGTTGTACGAAATCGTTCGTAATTAAATTTTCCGCCGGTGAAACGATGAGGGAGAATTTTCATTAGTCGGTCCGTCCGTTTATACGCGACGCGGTTGCTCCCCCCTCGATTAGACATCTCCCGAGAAATCTGGACCGACGCGATTGATCTTATTAATAAGAAAGTCCCACGATCGCTAACGAACGGCGATCTCTGCCAAACGAGAGTTGTCATTCACGACAAAACGTTCCGTCGAACCGCAATTCCGCTGTCACTGTCACTGTCGAGAGTACTATTGTTCGGGCTCTGCTTTTCTCTCTTCTTTTCCACCTTTCCGCTACCAATAGAAACATGATTATTATTTTATGATCATTTATTTCGATATACGCGAAGCATCGCGTTGGACTATGAACAAGTTATTGGCAAATTGTTCCGGTGTCGTCGACACCGATTCGATAAACCTCCACGTTTTCTCCATTCGTTGGGCGCACCGCTTTTTCGCATTAAGGGAGATTAATACCGACTGTAAACGGCACAAGAGTGCTACTGGCGTCACCGTTAATCCAAGTAAAGCCATTTTTACGGGGGAATCTCCGACAAGCTGGTGCGTGCGCAGCAGCGGGAATAATGATGTCAAACAAACGATGCGCGCTCTGTTCCAACCCTTGCCAAGGGGGCATCTGCGCAGCGCGCGCGCGTCTCTCCCTCTCGGGCGGATCATTTTTTTTCCACGGACAGAGATAGAGAACGAGGGAGAGGCTGATGGGGAGCGGAGAGGGACACACAAGGAGTCGTTTTAACACGCCTACGTGGGGTGCGCGTAAACGTTCAGTCGAGGATTCAATGTCAATTCAATCTCGGATGTATGGTACGTAGGTATCCCGAGGATATGTTCGCGTGGGGCAGATTAATTTCTCGGCTCGTACGCTGAGGCGTTCTCGATCCTCGCCGTCAGAGCGAACTCACCTTTGTCGAATAAAAATTTCCTCTATTCTTTTGCCATTATTTCGTGTCTCTTTCTTGCTAAGGTTCACTTGCTGCATCGAAGAACCAAGGAGAAGTGTGCATTCATGAAAAATGCAAATGTATTAAAGTATTAAGAGGATAGATTTCCCTCCCTGATACTGATAGAGTGCCAATCGATCGAGTCGAGAGAAAGCCCCCACAAACGAGACGTTTGCGGACACGCGCAATTACGCGCGCTAACCGCCGCTTATTTCCACGGACATTTTGCGCGCTGACACACCGCGCGCGCGCGCGCGCGCGCGCGAGTCTCGCTGCGGTGAAGTCGGAGATGCAACCGCCGCGGCGGCCGGTCGCCATGAGTTATGGCTGTGATTCTCCGCGGTGCTTGTTTTTCCAGCCATCCTTCAGCCGTTTCTCTCGCGTCCGAAAAACGCGCGTCTCTATCGCTCTCCTGCGCCCGCCGCCCGGTGTCTCCCGATAGCTCTATTAGGGCTGCGGATAATTTATAGCCAACTATTGTCGATTAACACGCGCATAACCAGGTCTCAGGGGCGGCCGAAAAAAAGGGGGGCACGGGTCGTGGGGATGGAAAAAAGGGGTATCCGCGCACACAAAAGGGCACGCGACGCGCTCTCTCTCTCTCTCTTTCTCGGTGAGAGGGGGTGGCGGCGTATCGCGCGCGGCAGGGAGGTGCGTGTGACGCGTTACACACAACCAACCCCATCTGATTCATCGGGCTAATGACACGTTTATTTGACATTTGATTCGAAATCGCTACGACAGTCGCGCGCGACAAATTTTTGCGAAAAGATGCGAGCGAATATCGATCTTCCCCTGACCCGCTCGCCTAGGGTGCGTTCAGTATGACGCGTCGTTGGCGAAGAAACAAAGATACCGAGAGTCGCGACGGCCGAAACGTAACGGACGATTTTACTCGAGAATATCCCGTCGATCTCGCGCTCTCTCGAGCGCCGTGGTCGTCACGATGCGACCGAAACATTGATTTCCGTTACTTTTTCCCATGCAACTGCCTGCCAACTGACTAGCCGAACGAACGCGGGGGGTGTTGCCGGTGGATCCCACCTGTTGACTTTCCGCAACGTGACTTCGTTCGCGCTCCTTCTCTCCGCGCGGTAGATTAACATAATACCCTCAACCGTTTTCATTAATCTCGGAGAAACGGTTTGTGCGGCGCGCTTAATTCACACGTTACAATTTTCCTTCCGCACAATTCTAGCTGACTTCACGCCGGAAACTTCGCGACAGAGAAACGCGTGTCAATATCTCTTCATATTGCACGCGTGTAAATTTACGTTCTTTTCTCTTTATTTTATTTTCAGACACGATTAAAATTCTTCATCGTCGCACTGATAGAAAAATATAGTTGAATTGACTATAATCTCACTATATTTTATAGTTCATTTTGGCGTCAACCACATTTTTATAGTTCGTGCGGGAGTACCTGCAAAATATAGTAGAATAAACGCAAATATATAGTCGATGATTGTCTCAAATAATTGCGTTTAGTTACTTTTACCACATATATGGCAATTTCTCAATGACAAATATAGTGAGATTTAATATTCACATTGTTACATCTGTCATCATTTTGCAAATATTCTGGTAATATTGACTACATAAAAGAGTTACTTTACCTACCATTTTATATTTGTATCCATACAACAATATTTTAGTTTAACTTACTATAATTCTTAGTAGAAATATTATATGGTTGGTTATACTATGCCTATATCGTAATTATTACCGATATTATCGTAATACTTACTATAAACATGATATTTCGGACTATAATTTAGTCACTATAGTTATTACATTATAGTTCCAAATATCATATACTTTTCTCTCAGTGCACGCCCTTGCTACGCTCCTTGCAAAAATGTTTTCTCTCGTTTGTACGTTTAGTGAAAAAATTCATATCCGAGCAGCAGTTTCACGGTATTTCTCTGTATTTTTTATCGCGTGATTTAACATTCGGATTATCTCCCTTTAAAACGCTCCTAAGGTCGCTAATTTTTCATCGCGCTATGCTGCCCGGCACGCATTCGTGAACGAAAAGTGAATCGAAAAATGTGTTCGTCTCTCGTCGTTGAATATTCCGTTTCCCGAATACGACGTCGGCGCGACATTCTCCCGAGGGAGAGCAGATCCTCAAAGTCGATCGCATCCCTTAGTGTCTGAGCGGCACGGCGTGCCGCTACGAATTAGCCGTGGAGAGATAAACGATTAACGTACCAAGGGGGCGGAGAGAGGGTTAGCGCGGCGTAGTTGGGCGTAGTTGGTGGCACGGGGGGGGAGGGGGGCTGTGCCCGGTTCCCATGAAGGTCCGTTGGGGGCCATCACTCGACCATATGGTCGGAACAAGTGTAGCGGCAGATTTAAATAACCGTTGGAGGTCGGATACCGTTCAAACTCGAGCGAAGTCGCGCGAGCTCGATGAGTGTTTAATCGGGGCTCTTCAACAATTTATTAATCGGCAATTCTTTCGTCAATTTCCTCTCGTAAAATTGCTTCTCGAGCATCCCCGATCGGGAGACTTCCTTTTCGCGAAACGCTCCTGCAGCTGAATCTTCGATCGCGACACGAAGATGAACTTTAACGAAGAAAGAGAAGAGGACACGACGCGCACTTTATTTTACGCGACACGATACGGCTTTGCCGTTAGCACCGATAAGCTAAGCTCTACGCGTCCTGTCATCGATGAATCGCACCTCTCCTCCTGTCTCCGCCGTGAATTTTCGATTTTACCCGCACTCTGATATTCGGGAGTGAAACGCCGCAGGGGGTTGCCGAGACTCACCTGCGATTGGCTGCTCCCCAACGTCGCTTGTACCAATCGCGAGCGGCCAATCCGGACGCCCCCGCTTGCGTTTGTAGTCACTGGACGATGTGCCCACCGGCTAACTGGAGCATCATTGTGTCTATTGTCATCGCGACAGCTTGTTCGTCGGGCTGTATTTAGGCTGAGGAAAGACAGACGACGGAGTGATAGTGCGGTACCGGACCGCCAAATCGTGTTGTGAACACACGTTCCTTTGTGTTACACAGAGTTGCATTTTCAACAATAGAAATATTTGATCGCGAGAGGCGCTAATAAATTCGAACGGTGAATATTCCATAAAGCAAAAAAAAGAAAAAAAAACAACGATCCACCGTTGGGCACTCGGCAAAATTGGTCAATTTGATTGTTCGATGAAACGCCTGCCGAAAATTGCTGTATATTTTTTCCGAATCAATTCGTAATTCGCGGAGCGATGCTATTTCAATCGTCCAAGTTTCGGGGATGTGCGTGTGCGGTTTGCGTTGGAATTAATTCCGCGAGTAAAAGAGTTAATAAACAATTGTCTGGTTCGATACCGAAATATGAATTTGGATGGAATGATGTGCGTAGACCGCGCGCAATCGGAAGTATATAATTGCATAAATGTTGTAGCCGCGCGGAGAGGCGGGGAGTTCAATTCGGGGTCGGCGCGAACGTTGCGAGAGTTCGCCGCGTAAATCGTTGCCGCAGTTTCCGCAAAATTCGTTAAACGATCGCCGAATTTTACGCCAGAGGCTTGATTTAGAAAATCGGAACGACGATATATATATTCGTCTGTTTCGTCGTTTGAATTTAATAATTCAGCAACAATCCACTTGTCACGCCATTCGAGTGGCCCTTTTGCGCGGTTCTGGATCACGTAATTCGCCCACATTGCGACGGGTCACGTATCATCGTTCGCAGAGGGTTGTAATTTATAGAGCACATGACCGGCCGCACGCGCGCGCGCGCACGCACACACACACACACACACACACACACACGCATGCACATGAACATGAACATGTAAACCGTGGCGGAATTGCGACTTTTGCCTGCACCTCTATCGCCAACATGTCGGAAACACTTGTGTGATCTGTGCTGTATTCGTCATTTACAGCCTCGCAGCACAGCGGAACCGTCGACGAGGACAAAGAGGACGAAGAGGAGGGTGAGACGAGGTGCACCGTTTGCGACAAGCCGTTCCAAGATATCGAACTGTAAGCACTTGTCACGCTATAATTATTCCATATGTTCGCGCGAAGCGTCAGAAAGACGCGTCGAGAGAGTAATTTCGAGTTTGTATTTTCCTAAAGGGTTCCTCATGAAAAAAAGTCAATTATTATATCTCAAACATCTATCTATTATCTAAATTCATCGGTATAAGACTGCAAACTGCAAACTTTTTAAAGATTTGTGAAGAATGTCTCGAAAAATGTACTTCCCGTAAAAGAATATAATTCAGTCTCGATCATTTATTCGCGGAAGGTCCGGAAGACGCGATTTGCCTTCAAGCGCTGCTTATGACCGCTCGATTTTTCCCTCGTACACGCGTAATCGCGCGTACCCTGCAAAAGTTGCGCACAAATGGTGCGAGACACCTTTATTACCGCGTTTCCACGCATTACATTATCCGAGGAGAGTCGTCGTTAAGCGCGACGATACAGAGCGCGACTCATCAAGGATTCATGGCGTACCCTGTTGAAATCAGATCGACGATCATTACATGTCTGGCGGAGCTGACACGTTATACACTGGCAGTATCGGATCGAAATCGAGAGAGAGAGAGAGAGAGAGCGAGAGAGAGAGAGAGAGAGAGAGAGAGAGAGAGAGAGAGAGAGAGGAAAAAAATAGAGACAACGACTTTCATAATCGAGCGACATTAAAGCGTACGCCGCGCGTCCGTCGATTCTCATCGTCAATTATTAATTAATCGATGGAATTCAGGGGTGAGCGGCACGTAATCGCCTTCAAATCTCGGGGTCAGCGATACGCGCTCGCGAAAGGGCCTTCTGTCACGCGAACGGTTCCTAGAGTTGCTCTTAGGAGTCCTGAAAATTTCTTCAAGACTCTCCCGACACGTCACGATTAAGACGCTTAGTCAGCCTACATTCTGCCCCACGGCCATGTCATTGCCTTTAATTAGGGAGTAATTGATGTAAAGTGACTGCGAGCGAAAAAGGTCGCGAGTGCGGTGTACATGTTGCTGCTGCATGAATTATTGGAAGATTTTCAGGTCGTGCAATTTCGCGGGTATACGCAAAAATGCGATGGCGCGTCGCGCGCCGAGTGTGCGATTAATCGCGAGCGCAATGACGCGCGTTTCAATCCGTAATGGGAGGGGCAGGAGGGGAGGGGAGGAGGGTAGAATCTATTTCGAGATCGCAAAGGCCTCGGCGTATTTATTTATACTTATCGCCGCACAACGCGAGATCAAACAGTGCGCTGGCGGCATATGGCCTTCGGTACTCGAGAGCGCGTCTTTCCCACGAGAGCGAAAGCCGCCAATATAGCAGCCGCTTTCTTCTTCACCGATCGGCAGTCGCGTCCGATTTTTCGGAAGTGCATTATATAATTGAAAACAAACAGTGCCTCTTCTCCTTTTCCCCGGTCATTCTCTTCTCCACGCGCAACTCACGCGTTGTGCGTTGCGCGGTCCTCCCTTCCCATCTTCTCTTTCGTTCAACTAGCTCGTTAATTTTCGTCCACCCTCAATCGTAGTCGACTTTGTCTACAATAGCGCGAACACAATCGCGATTCGATAACCCTCTTTCACGACCATCACGGCGTTGATTAACATCAACAACAAGCGCAAGTGGAGTAATGGACGAGCCCAGATTTCGACAAATTAGCGATTTACCGAGACTTATTAATCGAGATCGGTATTAATCTCCCCCGCGATCGCGAGCAGATCGCGATCGGATATTAAAGCGATCGAAACCCCTCCGACGATTCGATCCTCCGGCGCATCTCCGCCAGGAAAAAAGGACGACGCACAGAATCCGCGTTCTCGTGCCTTGCGGATTCACCTGTTGTGGGGCGTTAAACCACTACTCCAAGCAGGATCCGCAATCGCGGGCGCGTTAAAACCAGCCCCCTTCCCCCCCCCCCCGCCACGGGCGTATACATCATCGCGGGGAGGCGTCGCGTGCTCGCAGCTCATCTGGTACGGCACACCGTCACCATGAAGGCACTATCTCACCACGAATGGGTTTCACACGACACGTGTGTTCGGGGGTGCAAAATCAATGCCGCCGACGGCGGCCGCACACCATGGCATCCCCGCGTGACGATAACCCGTGCCTACCCCGTGACAACCGCCCTCACAGAGCAGCCCCGGGCTTTTCTTCGTGACGGCGTGTGTTCGTGCGCGTGATGGCCGCCCTCTTCTTCAGGGGCGTGCGACCGTTATTACACGAGAGCCGACTTGCCGCCGCCGCCGCCGCCGCCGCCGCCGCCGCCGTCGTCGTCGCCGCCGCTGCCGCTGCCGTTACCGCAGCAGCGCAACCAAAGTCACTTAGTCATCATCCGAGACTGCGCGCCCGGCGCAGTCTTTGTCGGTGCAGGTCGGTTATCGTGTCACACCCGCGCCGGGGTTGGCTCGCCCGGCTTCGCTCGTGCGGATTGATTAAACGGATGAAACTTTGGCCGAGATGCGGAATAATGAAGGGTAACGCAAACACCGCCGCCGCCGCCGCCGCCGCCGCCGTTGCGCCGTCAAGTTGTCGCCAGCGGTCCCGCGAGAATTCATTCTGGTCTCGGAGTCTCTCGGAGTCTCTCGGAGTCTCTCGGAGGGCCGAAGGTGGCTCTCGACCGACGTAGCTCACGCGAGCTACGCGTTTCCCTAGGAAACGAGAGAAAGGTTGTTGTCTAACGAGACCATTCCATCTCGTTTCATCCGTCCCGACGACTGACTCTTTCAAGCGACGCGAGCTCGACTCGAGTATTCGCCGCAGAGCGTTCATTCGCTCTTCTCTCACGTGTAGCGAGCGATTTAGCCGTTCGCCGCGAGTAATCACACACGGTCTCAAGCAGCTTACTCACTCACTCTCTCTCTCTCTCTCTCTCTCTTTTCAGATTGGACAGCCACCTGGTGACCTGCCACAGATACCCAGCGGAGCAGCACCGCTGCGACAGCTGTCCCCGTGCCTACGCCTGGCGGCCGCTTCTCGTGCGGCACCGTGCCATCGTGCACGGCGACCTGCGCAATTACCCCTGCGAGAACTGCCCGAAGGTAAGCCCTCGGGCTCGCGCTCGAGCCGCCGCGACCAGACACTCCTTCCCCCAGCCCGACAACATCTTCAAAGTATCGCTAAAAGTCGAACCTCCGGCAGGTCTTCACGGACCCGTCGAACCTGCAGCGCCACATCAGAACACACCACGTGGGCGCCAGGAGTCACGCGTGCACCGAGTGCGGCAAGACCTTCGCGACCAGCTCCGGCCTGAAGCAGCACACCCACATCCACAGCAGCGTCAAGCCGTTCCAGTGCGAGGTCTGCTTCAAGGCGTACACCCAGTTCTCCAATCTATGCCGGCACAAGCGCATGCACGCCGACTGCCGCATGCAGATCAAGTGCGTCAAGTGCGGCCAGTCGTTTAGCACGGTCACGTCGTTGTCGAAGCACAAGCGATTCTGCGACTCCACCACGTCGAACGTCCCGCCCGGCAGCATGCCGCAGTTACCGACGCCGGGAACGAGCCCCTTCCTCATGTACCAACGACCCCCCGTCAGCCTGTCGGGCGGCTTGCCCTTCTACGCGCCTAGCCTGATGGCACCTTACCCGGCGATCTTCCCGAACGCCCCCAACTTCCTCAACACGCCCCTCATCTTCCCGCCCAAGATCGAGGAGGTGGAGAAGAGGAGCAGCGACAGCCCCAAGAAAGAACGCTTCACACCTCCCAGAGTGCTGCTGCCGCAACACAGCAAGGTCTCTCCGTCCACGGCGGAGGAGGCCACGTCTACCTTCAGGCCGTCCCCGGCTAGGCCTCCGGTCCAACCGACCCCGGAGAGCGACGACGACCCCGCCGCCGCCAAGAGGAGGGAAGCGAGCCGCGGTAACGAGCGAAAGACGGAGAACGAGAGCGCCGTGAACGTCGCGAAGGAGGAAACGACCGATCAACCGCTGGACCTGAGGGTGCAGACCAAGAAGCAAGACGTAGCCGCGAGCAGGAAGAGCCGCACTCCCTCGCCGGCGCCGGTGCCGATGGAGGAAGAGGAGGAGGAGCGGGGGGAGGAGGAGGAGGAGGAGGAGGAGGAGGAGACGGCGGCTCCGCCTGACCCGCCCAAGCCGGAGGAGAGCGCCGTTCAGCAGATTCAAGAGCTCGAGCCCAAAGACATCGCCGCCAACAGTCCGCAGTTGAGGAGCAGCGGCCTGTCGGCGGAACAACCGGCTGCCAACACCCCGCCGCACATGGCGTATCCGAGACCGATTCACCCCATGTTTCTCGAGACGATGTACCGCGGCCCAACCGGCACCGGTTTCCCGGGCTTTCCCAGCGCGCCACCGCCACCGAGCGGGAGCACCCCGGAGTCCAGACTGATACCTCCGCTGCCGCCGTTCGGCCCGCCGCGCACCCTTCCTTTTTTAGGCTCGCTTATGAACGGGCTCAGCGGCGCTAGGCCAGGAGGAGGATTCGATCTGCTCGCCCGACCGCCGCTGAGCGCGTTCCCCGGAGTCAAGCCGTTCCAGGAGGCGGTGATGCCGCACCATCACCACCACCATCACCATCATCACCATGTCCACGGCAAGATGAAGGATCGCTACTCCTGCAAGTTCTGCGGCAAGGTGTTCCCCCGCTCGGCCAATCTCACGAGGCACCTGCGCACGCACACCGGCGAGCAGCCGTACAAGTGTAAGTACTGCGAGCGATCCTTCAGCATATCGAGCAATCTCCAGAGACACGTGAGGAACATCCACGACAAGCAGCGGCCGTTCAAGTGTCCGCTTTGCGAAAGGTGCTTCGGTCAGCAGACCAACCTGGACCGGCACCTGAAGAAGCACGAGGCCGACGACGGTAGCGGAGTGGTCTCGGTCGCGGACTCGCCCGGCAGTAGCAACGAGAACGAGCGGGAGGACACCTACTTCGACGAGATCAGATCGTTCATGGGCAAGGTGACTTACGGCGGCGAGAGCGGCTATGGCTTGCCGCATCACCCGACCTATATTCCCAGCCGGCTGCATGAGAGCGGTAACGAGTCCAAGATAGAGGTCGAGTACGACGAGGACGAGGACAGCGAGGAGGGTGTGTCTCCGTTGGAGGAGACGGACGGGCTGTCGCCCATCGAGGCCAAAGAGTCGCCCTCGCCGTCGCAGTACGACCTGAAGCTGAGAGAGAAGCAGGAACTGCTCAATAACAACACCGCGGAGCCGGTGATCGAAATCTCGACATAGCCCAGAGGTCAGTCCGGTTGATCAGCGCGCGATCGCTTCCAAGGACGAGCGGAGGAACACGCCCTCCTCATTCATGTACAGAATTCTCGCGCGAGCGCGTTCGTCTCGAGACTGTCGACTTACGGCGATAACGTCCCAACTACATTGGGCGACTACTTGCGACTACCTTAGAACGGTCCACGTATGCTTCGACACGAGCCGCGAACGATTCCTCGAGTATAATCGGGTGTTTTGTTCTACGTGTTCGCACCACGATAAATCCGCGAGAGATAGTCCACGGTACATAATTATAACTACACGTCAATGTATTAATCCTCGGAGAATTTTCCAAGAAGAAGCGATGTAACTTGAGAATCCAGTAAACCCAGTTATACTTGTAAGATAGGTGCTCTGTAAAGAAAGAAAAGAAAAAAAAAAACAGAAAGAAGAAGAAGAAGAAGAAGAAGAAGAAGAGAAGAGAAGAGATCACGACACAAAGTCCCCGAAGAGATCGCAGACCCTCGTGTTACGCAATTCCCTCTTTTGCACAGCCCACGTTTGTTTGCACCGCGAAAGCATCCCTGCGAGGAGGAAAAAAACTCGGTAAATGGACCGGTTATTAACCTCCGTCTCGCGCATCCATGATCGAAGGCTCTTCTTCTTCTCTTGATAGTCCGGTTTCCACAGACTCGTTATTAATGTGTATACGCGCACGTAATTCCCGTTCCCTACTTCGTCGTCCCCCCGGCATCGACCAAGAGGAGCCACCCGTGTTCCCGTGAAATTATATTCGTCAGCAATTATATCAGCAGAGTTTACTTTACACGTTATTGTCGTTGCACCGTCGCTCGGCGAAAGGGGATCGCGTCGCACTTGGCGAATGCGGACAGTCGGATGAATCTTACGATTTATGGCCCGTCTCGATCGAGAGAGACGGATCACCGCCGTTCACCGCCACGGCCGTGGGTATACACCCACGGCCCTACGTGTTCGTTATTGATTTCGGAGGATGGTGTTTGGTGTGGTAACGACGCGCGACAGAGCGCGTAACGTGCGAACGGCCCATCGTCGGCAGTCGTTAGATCGTCGTTATAAAATTCCTATCGTAAGATGACTGTAACCCGCTTCGGATCGGACCGAACACGTCTCAGCCGCCGCGAGATGGTTGGATTTTCGTTTAGAGCATAATCACACGACCGAACGCTGATCATACGACACGCAGAGCACAGCAGACGCGAGACGAGACAGCGAGCGAGGCAGGAATAATATATCCATTCGCTGAATGACGCGGCCCGAAGCTTAGGATTTGCGCGAGATGGCAGGCAGGGGGAGACGCGCTCTCGCGTCGCGCGTATCGAAAGCGATAGATGTTAGCCACCGCGACCGTCATTGAGGCGAGAGCATTATATCTTATCTAGGGATGCGCGCGAAATGAGCAAAGGGAGTGTGTATTAATTGGCACGATTAGATTAGTGGGCTACGAAAAAATCTCGCGGGAAAATGTGTACAAATTTCCACTAGCTAAAGTAATAACATTTGTAAAGATGAGAGGCGAAAGATCTTGGCGATTTTTATTAATATATATAAATACGATTCTAACGATTTCACGTGTAGCACGTGACGGAACAGTCCGTACGTGAGAACGAGCGAGCGAGCGAGCGAGCGAGCGAGCAAACGAACAAACGCGTTCCCTCTCGTGTCATTCAAGTAGAAATATTTGCGTGTCCACCGAAACATCGCGTTGGCGAGCGCGATGAGAAATGAATGAACATACAATACACGCGCATATACATGTGTACCAAGTACGTTTCATACGCGCGTAGTTAATAATAGCAGTAATAATAATAATAAAAATAATAATAATAACAATAAAAGAGACAAAGAATATATCGTTCGTTTGTAACCACCGAGTTGGGGCTTCACTTGTTTTTCACGTAAAGGTTTTACGAATACACGTTCTACATATCTCTCTGTCTCTCTGTCTCTCTCTCTCTCTCTCTCTCTCTCTCTCTCTCTCTCTCTCTCTCTCTCTCTCTCTCTCTCTCTCTCTCTCTCTCTCTCTCTCTCTCTTCTCTCTCTCTCTCTCTTCTCTCTCTCTCTCTCTCTCTCTCTATTTCTCTCTATCTGTCTTTCACTATAGACGATAAAAATGAACTTACGAAGTGATTAAGCATAATTATATTGAACGAATTACTTAAGAAAAACTATATTATGACGCTGTCTATCTATACATACTGTATAAAAGCATCCTGTAACTTCATTATGATTACTATTAAAATATTACACTTCAAGTTGATTACCTACAAGACAATGTCACCTATCGTTTCCCTCTCTCGCGTGTTCCTATAATTTTATTTGACGGATTGATCAATCATGCTGCTTTTAACAAGCGGAAGAGCAGTAGTACTCGTGCAGCAATTGATGAGCGCGTATGAAAGATGGAGTGAATTCAATCGAAAAATTCGCGCGAATAAATATAGAATAAATATAGAATTACTCGACGGTATAATATTATTCGTTCACTGAAATGACGAGTATGCAAGACTCAAGACAAGAGACGTTAGCCGGTCCGATGAAGTCCATTGACATTTAATTGGCCGACACGACGAACACGAAGACGTATGCATTTACTTAAATGTGGAAAAAAACAAAAGAGTACGCACGATGTTAATCACGGTTTTCTATGTGCACGAAAGTGCGTCCGCGCATCTCTCAGTACTTGCTCCGTCGGCTCGTGCTGCGCTCTGTAGCTTGCTCCGTGATAAAAAAAAACTTCAACTAGATACTTTGAATAGTCAGAAATTTATTTCGAAATCCGCTAATGTTAACAGAGAAGAGTGCAACGAAACAACAGATCTCAAAAAAGGTGCGTTTTACAAAAACGATCGGAAAAGTTCAGATTGTAGAAACTTCCTTTATCGACGACAAATAAGGTGCGCTCGAAAGGCGAGATGTTTCATCGTCGGTGCGTTTTCGACGCTAGATCTCGCTTCATCCTAACATTCGCACTTCTCCGCTCCGAGCGGAGCAGCTCTTTTTAAAACACGTTAAAAAAAAAAAAAAAAAAAAAGAAAAAACGAGAAAATAACAAATGCGAGAATGATTCCGCGAAAAGAAGCGTGATTCGTCTTTCCTCCTTCTACCGGATATTTTCCGAGTGAAATCAGTAAATTTCCATTTTGTCACGCTGTTCAAAAATTGCTTTCGCACTTCTCGTTGAATCAATTTAACATGGCCAACGATCCGAGCCGGCAAAGCAAACGAGAGCAAGTGTCGAGCTAAGTAAAGCCGAGGGCGACTCCGACGAGCCCTCCGCGGCTAGGTGGGCTTAATTGATGGACGCGACCTATGGTGTTGAATTAATGAAGGTTGAACTTTGCCGGTTGTATACGCCACGCGAACCCCGTTTGAATCGATCCCCGACGCCCACTCGATCCGTATACGTATCCCATTCAAGCCCGTCCGATTGAACAACAATGTTCGCGCGTGCACCAGCAGCGTTCTCGCCAACTCTTATCGCGGAATCGCCAAAGAGGACAAGCGAACGCCGCCCCGATTAATTTGGAGTTATAACAGTTATCGCGATAATCGGCATCGTTTAGCCGGCCGTTTAGCCGATCGGATTGCACTACGAACGCGCGATCCGCAAGTCATTTCGCAAATTACAAGGCTCCGCGCGAATTAGCACCTCGACCGCGCGCTAAGTCTCGTCTCGTTTTTTCATTTACATTCGCGCGAAACGAAGCGGCTCTGCGTAGCCTTGTACTTTGTTCTTGCGGGCAGAATCAGCTCAGATCTCGATTGTTATGCTATATCATTACGATGCTAATTTTATGAATCATTATCTTCCCGCGTCCTCACCTTGTACTCTCGCGCGTCCATCTGTTCGTGCACATGCCGATGTGATAACATTCTTATGTAAAAATAATACAGAAGAAAAGCGAATCAACGAACCCATTTGTTCTCGCTGACGAGTGAAGTAAACAAATTAAATCGATAGAGGAAAAAAGAAAAAGAAATACGAGACATATGTAGAGTAGTAAATTGCGACGATTTCGATTTTTCCGATAAAAATTTGCTACTGTTTGCAAAAGTTCCATATTTTTAGACATCCTTTGCTGTTAATAGTACGAACGAAACAGTACATGTCATGTTTTATCAAAATATTCGCCATCATTGTATCCATCACTTTTTGCCACCTTCCTGATTTTTCGTCTGTAAAATGATTGATCTCGTGTCAGTCAAAATTCTCGGTGAGCCGCGATGAACTTTTGCAAAGAGTCCCGATAGAAATTTACGATTTTACCAGACTGCATGTAAAATGTACGACGCAAGATATTAAGCATCCGACAACATACAACGGGAAAATTATATTTTCAGCTTCCCTGGCGGTGGATACAAGCAATGAGGAAATTATGACGACGAGCGACGGCTTTCAGCTGGAAAACCCGACAGTGCAACGTACTGACGAAAGTACCGGGGCGCGATCCTCGCGGATAGGAAAACTCGTGCGAACGCGGGGTAGTAACGCGGGGGTGGACAGAGGATTGTTTCTTTGTTCCCCGTCGCGGCGCGCAAAGGATCCAGGTGGCTCTCTCGCTCGTCGAGCTCTCGAGAGTGGAGAGAGGGATATCGGCGACCGTTGCGCGAGCCACAAAAGAGCGGTCCGGGACAAGCGCGAGCTACAACAAACAGCCTACAACGGCATCGATGAGGCAATAATTCTACGCGCCAACGAACATTATTGCCAACGTGACGTTGACAAAAACGGCCGAGCTAATCACGAAATTCCGCGCGCAGTCTCCGATCTCTTTCTCTCTTTCTCTTTCTCTCTTTCTCTTTCTCTTTCTCTTTCTTTCTCGCTCGCTCGCTCGCTGTCGGAGCGGACCCGCGCCGTTTAGAAAGTGGAAAAAATCGTTACCGACCGGCCGATCGATCGGCTAGCGGTACAGATCGATAGAACGCGTCCGCGCGCGCACCGCACTGTGGTGTGCTCTCCGCTATTATCTATGACCGCGTGTCCCGATGAGGACTTTAATTAACCTATAACGGAGAGGCTGTTCGTCCTGCCGACGATTGTACAAATATCGTACGACTGTTGCCAAAGTAGACGCGAAAGCGAAGAGATGAGCACGATGAAATTTCGCGTCTTCGCGAGCCGTTGCTGGATTTTTGCAACAATCTCTTTTTCCGATTCCCAAAGACAAATCAGGCTGCGAATAGTCTCTTTTACACCGAGTTGCATCAAGGTAAGAGGAAAAGAGAGGAAGAAAGAAGACGAGAAAAAGAACTGACGAAATCGCAGAGTGCGCCACCGATCTGTTTTCAGCTGGCGGCGCGGCGGATTTAACTTGCGAATTTTAATCCGAGTCCGAGCGCGCTCGCAAATATCGTCGCACGAGACTCTCCTTTTAGGAGAGACCAAGAAACCAACCGGCGGCAGCCGGCTGGCTGGTCAGCCGCTATCGAGTCTCGCTCGCTCGTTTTTCTTATTTCTCATCTCGGCACGTCGCGCGTCTCCTTTCATTTTAACGCATGATCGCACACCCGATCCGACCGGCGCAACACACCCACCGATCTCTAATCCCGTCGTGTGTACGCCGGGTATGTACGACGGTTAGCCTGCCTGCCGATCGACCG